TCTGCTTTGACTCTCAAGAAAATGATACCAATTCAAGGGCTGCTCCTCCTATTTTGTATTGCATTTCCCTAGGGTTGACTTTTAGTCTTTGGGATAAGCTCCAGAATGCATTCAGTAATGTCTTTTTGTGAGACCTCCCCTGTGTGGTGTCATTTTGCACTTCATGCCCCCATTTTGGAGCACAGGCAGCTACCACAGAGGACACTGACATCAAGCTCTCTGTATTATACATGGGAATTTTTAGAGTTTTATCAGTTTAACCGGAAGTAACATCACATCATAAACATGCTTAACTGTTTTTTTTTACTGACATAAACTGTATTCCTTGCAGTATGTGAACCAACCTAGTCACAGGAATGAATGTTGGCATTGTTTGTTTCTGCAAATCACGGATATGTAACATACAGTTCATGTGTAGCAGATATGTTGTAAGTTTATGAGTCTTTGCTTTTCAACAACAATGTGATTAGCATGTGATTATATTTAGGTGCAAAACCTCCGTTCAGTTTTGTTAATTGTTGGTCTCAAACAGCAGTCTGTAGCTTGGCAACTGCGTCACCTCAATTTGACGCCATGCACCATACTCTGAACCTCCCAATGACAAAGTCAGCTTATATACATGTTGTCTAAACTACGACACTAGAAATGTTGATCTACACCTTGATGAGAGTCCATCTGCAGTAAATTCAGCTGACTGGATAATGAACAATAAAGCCACAGAGTTGTCTCTGTAAGGTTTCACAGCTGACAATTCGTATCTGACCAAACTCCCTAGCCATGAGGTCGAAAGAGTTGCCTGCAGAGTTCAGAGACAGGTTTGTGTCAAGGCACAGACCTGGGAAAGACTGAAAAAACTCTGCTGCATTAAAGTTTCCTAAGAGCACAGTCGCCTTCGTAAGTCTTAAATGGAAGAAGTTCGAAACAACCAGGGCTCTTCCCAGAGCCGGCTGCTCAGCCAAACTGAGCAATCGGAGGAGAAGGGCCTTGCAAAAAGCACCTAAAGGACTCTCAGACTGTGAGAAACAAGATTCTCTGGTCTGATGAAACTGAGATTGAACTGTTCGGCTTCAATTCTAAGCATCATGCTGTGGGGGTGTTTTTCAGCGGCCGGGGCTGGTCAGGGGTGAGGGAAAGCTGAGCAGATAAAAAATACAGAGATACCCTTAATAAAACCTGGTTCAGAGCACTCAGAACCTCAGTCTGGGCCAAAGATTCACCTTCGAACGTAACAATGACCCTGAGCATACAGCCAGGACAGTGCTGGAGTAGCTTAGAGACAACTCTGCGAATGTCTTTGAGTGTCTTTGAGAGACCTGAAAATAGCTGTCCACTGACAGCCACATGCAGCCTGATGGAGCTTGAGAGGATCTGTGGGGAAGAATTGCAGAAAATCCCCGAATCCACATGTGCAAAGCTTGTTGCATCAAACCAAAGAAGACCTGAGGCTGTAATTGCTGCCAAAGGTGCTTCAGCTAAGTATGAAGAGAGTTAGAGGAGAAGGTCTGAATACTTTACATTTACCTACATACAATCTAATAAATACATTTTTTTCTTGACAGCAATATAACAAAATGTGAAAAAAGTGATGGGGTCTTGTGTATTTCCTGAATGCTCGGTATAGGCCTTTATCAGATTTTTTTTTGTTGTTGTCAGACCTGATGATTAAGCTGTTGTCGCAGGCTGAGTAGCTCTGCCAGTGACAAATGAACTCACCTTTGTGTAACACTGACAGGGTGTTTTTAAAATAAAAATGCCACCAAGGATTTGAGATCATTCTTCTTAAAAGCAATCATTTCCTAAAGTGACTGGAAACATTACTCAACCTTAACTTGTTTTTTTTTTGTATTGAAATTGATGCACAGTGCTTTGGGAAACACCTCATCATAGCATTATGAATGAAGCATTGTTAAGACTGTAGTGGCGACCTCAAGCTGTTGTGCAAGTCATTCATTTCTAGCTGAGCTAATGACTGGTTAAATGCAGTTTAGTATCCAAACAAATGAGTTTGGGGCAAACAATGCAAAATGCAGATTTGCTGTCAGCCTCTGACGCTCCAGAACATCATATCCACTGTCTGCCTTTCATGCTGTTGTCAACCATCAGAAACGTTAATTGCCACAACAAGCCTTTATTAAGCTGCATCGCAGTCTGGGCTAATTGTTTGGGGATGTATAACTCATTGAGTCCTGAGGGTTCTGGGCAAAGGCGGTAGTTTCTGCTCCACTTCACTCCAGAAGCCTGAAATGTATGAGTCTCTATCTGCATTCATATTGCATAACCTCGGAGGCACTCTCTCAAGACACTGAAAACTATATTTACAAGTAAGACAATTACATGCCACAGTGCCAGTGAAGCTGCGGTAGTCTATCATAAGAATAATTATATGATTGAGTCATTACAAGACAGCTGCATTTATTTCATACAGTGCTTGGAGATAGAGGAATAAATAGCAAATGAATAAACAGATCCCATTAGTGCAATCTGCAGCCAATGCTACACTGCCCAGTTTAACTCAACAGACATAATGCATCATAAACCCTGTCAACACGGATCACCGTTGTTTTCAGGCTCCCTTAAAAATAAGACCTTTTAATGTGAAAAGCCAAAGAGCAAAAATAAGAGCGTAATAAGAGTATAATTTTAATTCAAATCAATATTTTTCCTTTCACATGTGCATGTACAAATGTATATCAGTAACACAATGATACATCATTTACAGTGACATTAGCTTCCTGTTCACAAAAAAATGCATTTTGTGTTGTTCATAAGGCAACATGGGTGGTTCAACAAATATTTCCCATAAAATCAGTACGTCAAATGTATTCATGTACAGGAATAAGTTAACAAATCTGACATCACACTGAATACATTTAATCATGTACAATAAATGGTGTACAAAAGAAAGTCAACAAGATTCGGTCTACAAAGTGCAATGGCAACAATAGAAATATGTAGACAATAAAAGTTCTGGATGCTGGTAAACATGGTTTGTCTCTTTGGTGAGTTTGAATACATGACTTTTTTTTCTTATTTTTGTATGAAAATATTCACTTAGATAAGATAATGTACTTTTTATGTGTACATAACATGATGAGGTCACGGGCAGTGATGCAGCTGCACAAGTTGTGATGCCGGAAACAGAAATTCAGGTTGATGTTACGATAAAATATTTACATCTAAATCGCTTTGGATGATCAACTTTTGATGTCAGTTCAGTGGAGCAGCATATCAACAACATCAACAAAAATTCTGCTGTGATGTAACAAAATATTATAAAATACAAATATGAAATGTACATTTTACTACAAGGAGTGATGAAATATTTTACTTTCTATACAACACCCTCAAACAACTTGAGCAGAAAAATTATTTGTATTTTTTTTTTTTTTTTGCCCAGATCTACAACAGAGCCAGAGGATTGAATCCTCACAAAAATATGAAATAACTTAAATAAATAAACAAATAAATATCAAATAAATACAAAACAAACTTAAATAAAACAAAGCCATTTATTTAAAAAAAATTTCAACATTTTGGGAAATATGCATGTTCGCTTTCTTGCTGAGAGTTACATGAGAAGTAGCATGTGTGCTAGCTTAACTTGTGAGGTGACGTGGTTATCAGGCAGCCAGTGTGGACCCTTTTAGACAGAACTAAGGGCCTGTAAACATACTGTGTATTTTGCAACTCAGATCAGTTGTTTTTAATGTAGATTCGCAGAAGGCGCAATCAAAAGCAACGCTTTCACGACACAAAACCAGTCTCTCTCCCAAGTCGTCAAAATCTGGTGCTTGGGCAGTGACTTGCGGCATCAGACACTGACAAAAAAAGCTGTCCTTTAACTTCGGCATGACTCGCGGGCAGTTGCCATTATAATTTAATGGCACTCGGCAGCGTCAGGAGGAAACGCAGCGGGACAAGAACAAGAGTTAAGGTGGCGAAAGTCCAAGTAGGGGTGGTGGGAGGGTGGTGGATGGTCCCATATACTCGGACTTTCACCCAGGAAGCAGTGTTTGTGTCCTGTATGATTATAAAGCCAGACCCTGTTCTTTTTTCATAAGGCCTCATTTACACCACAAGCGATGCATTTGAGAAGTGGTCCACAAGCGTAACGGTAGCACACGTGTATTCACACCAAAACCGAACAGTCGCGTCACACAGCGGCCGCTGCTGTCCGGTCAAAATACAAACCACACCTGAACAGTTGGTGGCTGTAGTGCACCGTGTTTGCAAATCTACAATAAACCCCAAAGAAGAAGTGAGTTTGGACCCAGGTTGGACAGGTTTGCACGCCACTGATTGTTCCAACGCTGGGAGAATTAATATTTAGCGCTACAAATGGGTAAGTAGTCTTTGTCTGCTTTGTATTACAACTAAACATGAGTTTGCATGTGTTGTGACCTCTCTCGGCCACGGTAGATGTCGATATTTTGTTGAATACAACGACCATTCGCTCGCGACTTGCGCAAAAAATTGCCATCTCTTCTATTTTTGAGCTTGCTCGTGAAAGCAGCGTGACTTGAGCAGCACGTAGAATGGATGCAGTGTGAATGCTCTAACCTGTTAACATGCTCGCCAAAATGAAAACGCGAGTAAACACCGACCGTTCGTGAGCGCTATGCGAATGCATTGCTTGCGGTGTAAATGAGGCCTAAATCTAACCACATGCTTTTGTTGCCTAAACCCAACCACGTGCGTTAGTTGCTGGAGAAAAAAAACATCAGTTGGCGTTGTTGTACTGACGTAGTGCGTTTATTTTAAAAGAGACTGTATGTGAAAATCGAAGTGTATTTTGAAAGAAGACAATGCATGTAACAGGCAGAACTTGACACGGATTCCCAGTACGTCAACAACCAACACACCCAGGGTACCTTTCAGGTCGTATCCGGACGTGGAAAGTCCATGACCAAACGTCGGTATGTGATGAGGTTGGAGTGAGAATGTGTTGCGACACACGTGTTTCCAAGTACTTTTTTTTCATGGTGCGACGGCTGCACCCTGAAAAAAAGAGTTCAACTTTTGAAATGCAGCAACACACACTGCATGTCATGTGAAAGGATTAACCAATCACAGCCAACAGATATCTTCTCTTTCTTCAGTAAATATCAGTCTATGATAAATCTATGATACCTGGCAACCTGGAGCTTTACATCTGCTCCACAGACTGCCACTTAAAAAAAACAATGCCTGGATGACGGTCAGCTTCAAACTCCGGATTTCTGGTAAGTAGGCTGCTGTTTATGGTCGTTAAGCAATGTCAGGCACAACTTGTATCCACACCCTTGAAATTTGGCACAGATGAGGCACAAGAGTCTCACACAGCACTTGACCTCATGTTTTCCAGGCAGTTGAAGACATGGCCTGATGCGACCTTAGCCAGCTGCTTCCCCCGATTACAGTCTTTGTGCTTAGCTAAACTAAGCTAAGCTAAACTAACTCAAATATGAGAACTGTATCAATCTTATCATCTAACACTCAGCAACAAAGAAAATAACTGCATTTCCAAAAATGTCAAACTATTCCTTTGAACATTCTTAATCGCACCACCTGACGGACAGAAACGCTCCCCTGATGTGACAGTAAATGTTTGGGACACACAAGAAGCATCTGCATCAAAGCTTAAGCTTGCAACATAATTCAGATTTTTCTTTTTTTTTTTTTTAATCCTTTTTAAAGTGAACCCTCCCTCTCACCTCTTCACCCCCTTTGCAGAAAACAAAAAGTACTTTTGGACTTTGACTTTGCAGAGAGATGTTTGTTCCCATTATTGTGTGAGCAGAGTCGGCGGGGCGAGTGTACAGTGCTCACTTCATCAAGCTTCTTTTCTCTTGAACCAGCAGCTTAGTTGTGACACAGATTACTAGAGAGCCACAAGGATTTCATAAAGCCAAAAGAATTTAATCTGCGTCCACTGTGCCTGCATGATGAATCCATGCATGGTACTTAATATACATATACTTTACATAAATGGCTTAAAATCACTTTCCTAACTCTATGTAATATATAATCTTATCTTTAGTCTTTTGAAAAGAGAGATTTAATTTGGGACTGCTCATCCATCAACCTCAGGGAGTTCAAACACATGACACCTTAAATTGCTCTTTACGTTCACACCTTTCGTCTATGAGGAGAAAAAAAGGAGAATCCAACAAATTTAAAAATAGAGGTGAAAACAAAAAGCTGGAAAAGAAGAGAGGAAGCTGAACGAGTATTTTAACAATATTCACAACAGTACGGTACAGGACAAAAAAATTAGCACTGTATAAAAGAGCTCAGACTGCTCTGAGGACACATTATAAAGGCTCATAGAATGGCTTGTTTATATAAAATCATCATCTCACATTGACCAAAAACATCTAACCACGTGTTGAGATTATGTTTTGGTGAATACGAAGTGTTCAAATTATTTTTGTCAGAGGAGAAGTGTCTCTTTTGAATCTTATGCCTTTTATACCGTCGACTTTTTGATATTTAATTCAGGTGAACCCTCTTCTTCCCCAAAGCCTCTTTTCTAGCTGTCAAACGCAGCTGCTGATGTCAGAGAGTGCTAACTCAAAGAGCATTTTTAGATTTTCATATTCGTCACACTAAATACAAATCTGCCAACATCTCTGACTGCATCTCGGTCAATGTATCTAATTAAATTGCGAGTAGTTCTTGTTGCACTTCCTCTAAGCAACAATGGAGCAGATGCCACAAGGGCATGAGTTGTTCAAGTATCCTGCTGCAAATCCTGTAGGATTATCTTGCTCTAGACCAACAAACGCTAAGCTGTAAGATGACAGCCATAAGAACGCTAAGATCAGATGATAACACTTGCTGTGATGTGACAGTTTGATAATGATGCCGTCTTTAAGTCTTTTGAATACTCAGACTCCGTGTGCACCTCATGTACAATATATTTTGGGATATAAGTCCTCCAAGAATCTTTTGTGCCCATTTTACTTCACGTGTGGTTAAAGAATACTTTCAGATGCTTTTAATTGCTCTCACCAGACGAGAGAATCTCTTCACTCTTCAATCACACTGGACACACTGCGGCCTTGTCGGAGGATTCAGTCTGTTCTGTGGATCACTTCATTGTTTGCACTGGACAAAAAGATTAAGTCTGTTCCCTTAGATGTTGCGATGGAGATTATGTGCTGCTCACACAGCTGTGGTCTGTTTGATGCTGTGGAAGCTGATCCTGGTCGGTGATGTGGGGATGGACATGGCTCGCGCCACTCGCACTCGAAGGGCATGGTTGTCCTGCCAGCGGTGCCACCGTTTCCTTACTGCAGAACGTACCTAAAATGTTGAGGATAAGATGAAAAATACCTGAATCAGAATCCTGAGTATCACAGCACTGAAACAAATAACTAAAGGGTAAAAAAACCAACACCCCAGATTTAATAAAATGTAAAAGTATGTTTCATGATGTAAAGTTCATGGAGACTGTGACTCACAAAATAAGGAAAAGAGAAGATGTGTTTAAGAAAAGGTGGCTGATAGAAGATGGGAGACTGTAACACTACTGTCATCTTATCTTACTGTATAATGACAAAAACTCTGTGTGTGTGTCTGTTCCACGTTTTTCTCCTCACTGACTTGGTCAATCCATGTGAAATTTGGCACAGTGGTAGAGGGTCATGGGAGGATGCCAATGAAGCAATATTACATCAATTGGCCAAAGGGGGGCGCTATAGCAACCCATTGAAATGTCAAACTTTGAATGGGCATATCTCATGCCCCGTATGTCGTAGAGACATGAAACTTTGCACAGAGATGCCTCTCCTCATGAGGAACACATTTGCCTCAAGAACCCATAACTTCCGCTTATATAGATTTTCCGCCATTTTGAATTTTTTGAAAAACACTTCAAATGGATCTCTTCCTAGGAAGTTTGAGCGATCTGCATGAAACTGGGTGAACATAATCTAGGGACCAATATCTAAAGTTCCCTCTTGGCAAAAGTTGGAAAACTTACTAAAACTGAGCTTCTATAAGGCAATGAATATTGCGGAGGGCGTGGCTCATCACATAAAGGTGTATAACATCTCAAGGGTTTCACCCATCACCACGCAACTTTGTAGGCATATGACCACACATAATCTGAGGGGACCCCTCCATTATTGACCCCATCAAACAAAATGGGGGCGCTAGAGAGCTCATTTCTTATCTAGGCCTAACCGCCATATGGATTTTTACTAAACTTGGTAGATATGTAGAACAGGACGCCTCAAGGTGACTGGAGAAATTTAACTCTAATTGGCAACTGGGTGGCGCTATAACAACAGAAAAATGCTTAAAAATGGCTAAAATGTGACCGATCGCTGTGGCTCCCCCTGTGGACCAATGTTGTTGTTTTTTTTCCCTAATTTTTAGTATGACTAAGTCATGGTATGGTATGCTGTACTCAATGGGTATGGACTAGTTATATATGAAGCTACAGCTGGGGGACAGTTGTGTTTGCTTAGCATAAAGACTGGAAAAAAAGCAGTCCAGTCGCCACAAGAAGAAAATGCTGGCATATGTACATTTCTCAACACATCTGTTACATTTGTGTGTTTCATACATATCATATCAATGTTTCTAAAGTGATTGTGATAATTGTGATTACATGTATATAGGCCGGCTTTGTCATCCGGAGGTGAATGGAGTGACACTGATCCACTGTTTGGGACCAATAAAAAAAAACAACTTGCTTTTCAGTGAAACAATGGCAGCACTTTCAGCCATCATTGTGCCACCAAAAGGTTTTTTTTTTTTTTTTCAGCCAAAACATATTCTCTCCTAACCATAACTGTTCCATGCCCCAGGGTTGTGTTTTCTGTCTGTGTTTTCTTCTCTCTGGTGTCTTTCCAGGTGTCATTCTTCACACTCCTCATGGTGCAGAGAGTTGTTGAGTGCACCTGTACCTAATCAGCTCATCAGGAACGAGCTGGTTAAAAGGACTGGAGAGAGTGCAGAGAGTGCCAGTGGGCCTTTTGGCAGCTTGAGGGCTGTGCTGTTGGTTCCTGAACCTTTCTTGTGGTGTAGTGGATTTTTGTAACTACCTCCTGTGTGAATGGAGTGTGTTTATTGGTGTTGTGCTGTATCCTTTGTATATACAGTTTACTTGTTGGTCATATAATTGGTGCAGCTTTCTTCTTTTTAGAAAGTAGTTTTCAGCTGAGATCCTTAAAGCCTTTTGTGGTCATGTACTTTATTGTTCTTACTTGTGCTCATTCAGCTCCCTTTATACTTTTTGCCCAGTTTAATGTTATTGTTGCTTCCCTCATCCCCTGGGCTTAATGAGAGAACTTAACAATAAGTTCAGTGGCTTTTGTGCATGACCGCACAACAACTACAGTGTTGTTGAATAATAAAGGAATGTACAGTTTCAGCATATCTGGGGCAGCAGTAGCTTGGCCCATAGGAACCAGAGAGTTGCGGCTTAAATCCCCGCCCAGACCAAACATGGAGCGTGGACTGGTAGCTGGAGAGGTGCCAGACCGCCTACTGGGCACTGAGCAAAGCACCAAACCTCTAACTGCTTGGGGCGCCTGTCAATCAATCAATCAATCAATCAACACTTATTTCTATAGCCCTTTACAAAACCCAAAGGTTTGCATTACTTTCATTGGGTTTCATGGGCAAATAAATCTGCAAATAAATCTGCATAAAATGGAAAGAGAGATTGTGTTTTGTCATTATTGATCCCAGAGGTAGCAAATACAATGAAAAAAAGGATAGGGCCAAGAATAGATCCCTGTGGCACCCCTCTAGGGAGAGATGCATGTGATGAGTGGAGGTCACCAATCATCACAGAGATTGTCCAAGGCAGTGCTCTCACTCTGACGTCTCCATTTAATGCATGTATAGATCCTGTTTGTGCATGTGTGTCTATTTCAGGCCTGTATGTATAACAACAGAGGGAAAAGGTTTAATTTCCCCTCTGGGATTAATGAAGTATACCTTCTTCTCCTATACAATAACATAAGAATGTTACAGTACATAGCCACCATTTGCAGAAATGTAAAGTGCCCACATCTGGCAACTAAGTTGAAAGAAGCTAGTCTGTCAGTATCCAAAGGTGAAAAAAACTGCCTATCAGCACCTCTAAAGCACATTAAATAACACGTTACATCTTGTTTATGTCTCGTAGTGGAGCCACTGCTCCTTCCCGTCAAAAGGGGTCAGTTGAGGTGGTTCAGGCATCTGATCAGGATCCTCCTGGGCGCCTCCCATTAGAGGTGTTACGGGCACGTCCCACTGGTAGGAGGCCCCGGGGCAGACACAGAACACACTGGACGGATTACATATCTCATCTGGCCTGGGAACGCCTTGGGGTCCCCCAGGAGGAGCTGGAAAGTGTTGCTAGGGAGAGGGACATCTGCTTTGCTTGGCCTGCTGTCCCCCCGACCCAGCCCCGGATAAGCAGATGAGAGTAGATGGGATGGATCTCGTTTGTTTAACATACAAAAGCTAAACTTTAAAAACGAGTTGTGACAGAGCGAGGCCAGCTGTTCCACCATGTTTTGAGTCTTTATGATATGCTAACCAAACTGTCTCCTGGCTGTAGCTTCATACTTAACAAAATCTTCTGCACTGTTGAATCCTACAGAGTCTGGACAGAATGCATGATATAAAATTGTATTTGATTATTAAAAGAGCAATGTGTGGGTAAAAATTCTTACAGAAATTCAATTTGTAGGGCCAGAGGAATTGTTATTTGAGAAGTTCAAATCATTATATGTGCACTGTAAATATCGGAATAGCCAATTGCATAGCAATTTGGAATTTAGAGGCATGCTCCCCCCAGAAAATAATTTTACCACTGATTTTCACTGGAGTACAATAAGGGAATTATCTGCAAACGAAAATGTCTGAAATTCAAATCTATCCCTTAATGCCCCATTTTTGCTTTGGCTGATGCCGATCTTGAACTTGTATTAAATTATTGTACAAGAGGGATGACTCAAATTCTTCACGTCCTTACCGAATTAACCACCTCTCCACCATCGAGTTTCAATTATTTGAGGGTTGTTGTGAGAGAGTGGCAAGAGGGTCCTTCATTTTTCACAATTACTGACAAATATGCAATTGCTATAATGGCACTAATGACACCGAAACAGCTGGAAGTCAAGCAATTTGCTTTCATTTTAATTAGATGACAATGACAGATGTTTTCTTTTCATATTTAATCAAAATGCTACAATTTCACTATTAGAACACATCTCCCAGCAGTTTTTGTCTTAATGAAAGCTACCTGATCCTACCCCCTGCTTGAACTTGTAACTACAGTAAGTTAGAATAGTTAGAATAAAACTTTCCTAAACTAATCAAGGAAATCCATGTGGTGCTTAATTAAGATCATATATCAAGAAACACATTGACAACTTCATTAAATTCATAAATACTGAGTCTTTAGCAAAACTCCAGTGACTCACCTCTCCATTTAGAAAGCAGTAAAACACTGACACAAAGAATCCCTGCAGAATAAGACACATTGATATTAAAAGAGGTAAATGCAGCTCTATTGTGTAATGACACCTTAATTAGACATCAGAGAATTCAGATGGTGCAGTCATAAGAAGAAAATGGAAAAAATGCAAAATGTGTCATGACAAAGATAATTCTTGACTGAAAAAGCTCAGTTTGAAATGCTTTCTCCCTGCCCACTCAGTCTTACATTTAAACACAGAAGATGGAGGCACAAAAAAAAAAAACAGCCACAGCGCAGAGCTCATAGCCACATGGCTCTGTTAACTGTGTCAGCTGAGAGCACTGAACATGAGGCAGGAGAGCCACACTGTGTGTAAGCACAGCCAGGGTGCTACTTCGAATCATCTTTGCTGAAGAAGGCTCATAAACTGAAAAGAAGTGATACGACTCTGCGATAAGACGCGTTAAGGAATCAGTATGACTCACATTGTTCACTCTGAACACTGTGTGTGTGGGCTTTTGAGCGTTGGCCAGTGTCACACTGCGTCATTATCCTTGGTCTCACCTGAAAAGACTGCAAAAAGGAGTTGAAATAGATGAAAACGATTTGTGAGATGTCGTCCTCCCCCGGATTCACAAAGAAAAGCATGTAGGTGATGCCCAGCAGAGGTAACAAGACCAGTGTTGCTTTCACAGCTTTCCTGTGAGGACAAGGATTAAAAAAAAAAAAAATCAGTTTCATTTATAAAAAATAATAGAATAAAGTTAGTATAATAAGAACTTGGATTCCATCTGCGGCATGATTCTGCTTCAGTGGGCCGACTGGGAAATAAACAAAAGCACTCAACCACTTTGCTTCTCAAAATAACAACACATTATTAGAGCTGAACCCTTGTTTGCAAGATAGGTACAGTACCACATTTTATTAAGACACTACCTTAATGAGATAGTGTAACTGAAGACTTGCAAATGGTTCGATAAAAACAAAGCTTGGGTTGCCAGGATTTTTGTTAATAATGCATTTCTAATTTTTCATGCCACAATATAATTACTTACACACAATATAATTACTCATTCTTATTTCATTTATAACGCTACAACCATTTCATTGTATATTGTATATATTTCAGATTATTTATTTTATTTTATTGTCTACTTTAATATTTTATTTTATTTTAATGTCTACTTTAATATTTTATTTTATTTTATTTTAATGTCTACTTTAGTATTTTATTTTACTTATTTCATTGTCTATTTTAGTATCTTATTTATATCTTCATCTTTATCTCTTGTTTCCATTCATGCTGTATTTCTATTTCTACTTTGCATGGAGCATTGGAACAAAAACAATTTCCCCCCGGGGATTAATAAAGTATTCTGAATCTGAATCTGAATCTGAATCTTTTATTTAATTATAAACCACCAGGTCTGCAGGGAGATATGTCATCATTACAGAGTTTTATAATTATTCATAATCATCATCAATCATTCGGGCTATCTTTATCAATAACTTTGTTTTCTCCTCTTTAATTAAGTTAGAGAGTGTAGTACAGTAAATGTACTCGATTCAGGTTAGGTGTCCGCTCTTTGCAGATGATGTGACTCTGTACGCTTCATCACACTGAGACCTCCAGCATGCAAGGGGGGCGGTTAGCAGACGAGTGTGAAGCGGTCAGGATGAGAGTCAGCACTTCCAAATCTGAGGACATGCTTCTCTGCTGGACAATGATGGATTTCCCTCTCTGGGTCGGGAGAGAGTTACTGCCTCAAGCAGAGGAGTTCAAGTATCTCCGGGTCTTGTTCACAAGTGAGGGTAAAATGGAGCATGAAATGGAAAGGTGGTTTGGCGCAACATCAGCAGTGATGTGGGCGCTGCACTGGACTGTTGCAGTGAAGAGGGAGCTGAGTCAGAGGGCAAAGCTTTCAATTTACTGGTCCATCTATGTTCCAGCTTCACCTATGATCGTGAACTTTGGGTAGTGACGGAATTAATTAGATCGTGGATACAAGTGGCCAAAAAGAGTTTCTTCCATAGGGCCCAGCCATAAGCGGGATTTATACTGCATCAGCTCTATGCATAGCCTGCGCCGTAGCCTACACTTGTGGCCTACGCCGTTGTGAACATTTATACTTGTGCAGTGGTGTGTCCGTGTCACTCTGCAGTTACACCTCCAAAACACTAGTCGGTGGTGGGGTTTCTGTGAAGTTTAGTTGATTCAGTACACACATTAAACACACATTAAACATGGCTTAATAGAGACAGTTTCAAACACAAGTACACAAATCAGCTTCACTATAACTCGCAGCATTCACAGACAAACACTTGTCTTTATCTGGACACATTTTCCCCACAAATACAACATGCTAATGTTGTTAGCACAAGCCTATGGTATTTTACATTGTATAAATTAGCCTAGCGGCCTTTTCCTCTGCTCATATAAAACCAGGGACAACAGCAACATTTAACAAAGGTAACGTTACAGAATTCGGCTCCATTACAACTCACAAGGTTCACTGACAAAACAGCTGTCTTGTACTAAACATATTCTCTGAACAAATATAACATGCTAACCTTATTAGCACAAGCCTGTGGCAATTCACATTGTATAAATTAGCCTAGCCATGAGCAGAGATTTCTTCTTTTTATATGAAGCCAGGATAAATCCCAAAGTATAAATCACTGAAGGATGAATCACACGCGTGACTTGTGTAGTTACATTTCTGGGTAGGTTCACATCAGGTTATGGTGTAAGGTACAGCGTGGGCTCTACATTGACGCAGAGCCTACACCATGGGTACGGCGTCGATTTGTCGCAGAAGTATAAATCCCGCTTTAGAGAAAGGGTGAGAAGCTCAGACATCCACAGGGAGCTCAGAGATGAGCCGCTGCTCCTTTGCGTCAAAAGGAGCCAGTTGAGGTGGTTTGTGCATCGGATCAGGATGTCTCCTGAGTGCCTCTTGTTAGAGGTTTTCTGGACAGATCCAAACCACTCTGGAGGGATTACATATCTCATCTGGCCTGGGAACGCCTTGGGATCACCCAGGAGAAGCTGGAAAGCATTTCGGTAGAGGGATGTCTGGGGTACTTTGCGACCAGGCCTCGGATAAGCAGATGAAACTGGATGGATGGATGGGTTTGATAGCTCCATAAGCTAGAAATACTTTGGTTTGTTTTGTTGGCCCTGACCCAAGATGAAGTCTGATTAAAAAAAACAGCATGTTTCCATGTAATTACAAGTAAATCAAATTGTTTACACATGCAGGGAGATGTCCTAGTGGCTGCTTGGGAGGGATAGGGGCTTAGTTCATATTATGTCTTCGTCACTCCTAGATGGGGCGTAACAGGAGTCTGGAGCTCATCCTTTGTCTTCTCTGTTTCAGTATGAGGTGATACATCCTCAAAAACAAAGTCCATAATCATGACATGCTGTGCCAAGCAAGCAATTTACACATCACAGAAAATCCCATTTTTTCCTTGTCAAATTTACCCTGCTGTTTATAATCTCCATGCAATTCTTGTACAACTGGCAGCAATTTTAGCAGCATTATGTTCTATATTAAGGTCACCAATTTATGCCTGGCACTCCTGTCCTCCACTCACTTAATTCTACACAGCTCATGTCAGCATATCTGTCAAACCCCGACCGTAAATCCAACTCCAGCCTGAAAAGCCTGCATTGAGGATGTCTGAGCTGTGTCACTACAAACACCCAGTACACTTGAAATAATCCCCCTAGGAGAAAAATACACTTGACACAGTAATAAAAGGTGAAAAAAGCAAACTCACAATTTTGCGGTGAGATGCACAACATAACGACATAAAGCAGGACTGCACACAGCTCGCCAAGTATCCTCAAACACATGAGAGGTTTGCCACCTCCAAAGATTACTGTGGGGGCTGAACGAAATGGCCTCTGGCAGAAAGTACTGTAACTACCTTTTGCTCACTCAAGTCAAATTGCTTGTCTAGCTTTCGATAAATATGACAGGCACCTCGGGCATTTTTCTTATCCCATTATCGTCTTTTTTAACCGCATCCATAAATCCAGATCAAATATCTACCATGAGGTCTGCAGGAGATCACTGCAACATGAGATATTAAATATCAGTAAATCATTACCACTCTCTGACAAAAAAATCTGATTTATATGCTTGAAGTATGCACGTTTGTGAGTGAAACATAACAATTATGGGTGTTAATGTGAGTTATTGTTTTTAATTTACCACAATAATTGCAATTACAGGCAATGCTTAGCCTGACAGAGACGCAGCAAAAGCCACGAGAATGATATTTCATCTCTGCGATTACAGCACAGGCAGTGATTTCACTTTATAGTTATTAACTTTGGATCTTTTGAGCCCCAAATATCTTCTGTCTGAGAGGATTTGAATGAAATGAAGTCAGAATTCAAACATTGACACTAATTATATGGGTTAATTTTCATCTGCTTTCTCAATCAGCTGCTGAAAATTCATTTCTTCACGGTCTTTAAACACGACATGTTGTTCAATTGAGGATAAAACCACAAGGACAAAGTGTCATTATTATATTTATACCATCATAAACACTATCAACTCACCTGTACTGTATTGTTTCAGACGTGGTTGAAGCTCTTAGTTTGGTCATTAGAATTCTTACTATGTTGAAGAGGAAAACAAAGTTTATCTAGGAAAAAAACACAGCACACAACATAATTAGTTTGGAACCCTGTGCTAACAGCTTACACTGCAAAACACCCAGAGCAATTTCCTGCTGCGAACATACTCTGCTCATTAAACGCTGAGCAGGAGGGGTACAGGGCAACACAAGTCAAAGCCACCTCCTTTCTCAATGAGGAAGTGCTAGCGAACCACACACAAATCACAGCTGGTTAGCGCACTGCTACATGCTAACAGCCTGTGACAAACCATTAGCGGAAACATTCCTACAAATACAATTTCCTATTTTTAGTTCCTTGTGCGTGGAAATGCCTGAACCCATCAGGAAGATTAATTCCACCTTTCCAATAAGTTGGATGCGGAATGGAAATGGCTTTCATTATAAAACAATTTTCTTTTCTTTTTTTCATCACTTTATACTTTCAAGCAGGCATTAGTGATAGATGCCAGTGTAAATTGTGTGTTATATGAATAAATGGTTTTCACAGATAATGTGAAAATAATGGCATTGGATGTACCGGGCAGTGCCTTAATGTGTTGTTGCTCACCAGCAGCACAAGAATAACTGGTCCCTGATAAATGTAGTCCATGTATTTCCCAGGTTCTTTACCAAACCAACATCTGTTAACAGGAGGAAAGAAATAATCAATAAACAATTAATAAAAACATTAAAAAGAACATTAGTGCCAGAATATGTGTTATTTCTTTTTGGATACTCACTGTTCATTTTCATAATACAACTTTCCTATGGCCCAAGCTATTATTATAGGACATGGAATGCCTGGATTAAAGAAATAAAAAAAAATATTAAAATAGACAACAACAGGCATTGAACAACATATGTTAGAAAAAGCTTTTTATAGAAAATATATACACCAAATATACTAGTCCATACCCATGGAGTACAGCATACCATGCCATGACTTAGTCATACCAAAAATTAGAAAAAAACAACAACAGCCACAGCGATCAGTCACATTTTAGCCATTTTGAAGCATTTTTCTGTTGTTATAGTGCCACCCAGTTGCCAATTAGAGTTAAATTTCTTCAGTCACCTTGAGGCGTCCTGTTCTACATATCTACCAAGTTTAGTAAAAATCCATATGGCGGTTAGGCCTAGATAAGAAATGAGCTCTCTAGCGCCCCCATTTTGTTTGATGGGGTCAATAATGGAGGGGTCCCCTCAGATTATGTGTGGTCATATGCCTACAAAGTTGCGTGGTGATGGGTGAAACCCTTGAGATGTTATACACCTTTATGTGATGAGCCACGCCCTCCGCAATATTCATTGCCTTATAGAAGCTCAGTTTTAGTAAGTTTTCCAACTTTTGCCAAGAGGGAACTTTAGATATTGGTCCCTAGATTATGTTCACCCAGTTTCATGCAGATCGCTCAAACTTCCTAGGAAGAGATCCATTTGAAGTGTTTTTCAAAAA